TAAGGCAGAGTGAGAGAGGGCGTCAGTGAGGCAGTGTGAGTGAGGCCATCAGGTAGGCAGGGTGAGTGAGGCCATCAGGCAGTATAAGGCAGAGAGAGGCCGTTAGTGAGGCAGGGTGAGAGAGGCCGTCAGTGAGGCAGTATGAGACAGGGTGAGAGAGGCCATCAGTGAGACAGGGTGAGAGAGGCTGTCAGTGAGACAGGGTGAGAGAGGCCGTCAGTGAGGCAGTGTGAGACAGGGTGAGAGAGGCCGTCAGTGAGGCAGTGTGAGACAGGGTGAGAGAGGCCGTCAGTGAGGCAGTATAAGGCAGAGAGAGGCTGTTAGTGAGGCAGGGTGAGAGAGGCCATCAGTGAGGCAGTGTGCCGTGTCTCCTCAGATCAACGAGAGTGACCTGCGGCGCTTCTTCTCCCAGCACGGAGTGGTGAAGGAGGTGAAGATCATCAGCGACCGCGCGGGAGTGTCCAAGGGGTCAGTGAGCTCTGCCTCTGCTGCGTCCCCCCGGCCCGGCTGGAGCGTGTCCACTGGACCCCTGTGGAGTGGGCAGGAGCCAGTGGTGACCGCACTGACCACTCTCCGCCAGAAACCCCTCTTTCAGCACTAGAGCGTCTGCGAAAGGCAGCAGTAAAAACAGGAGAGCCGCAGCTGAGAGATTCGTGTCCCCGGGCTTAGAGAAATAGAAATGACTGTAAATGTCTAGGCGATAAGCAAATTAAATCATCATAACCCCCAGCTTGTAAAAGATATGCTGAGAATATACCCAAGTGGTTGGTGTAGAGGCACTTGAGTTCTCTGTTCTCAGGCACGGCTTTGGCGAAAGGCACAAGCTAGATAAACACGTCATTATGAACATCGACTGTAACACTCAACAGCACACACCACAGCCACGACATGCAAGTTACTGTATTTGCGGCAAGGGCCCGCGTCCTGATCCACCAGAACAACCCCTTACCGCTACCGAGTATTCAGAGATCCTTTATAATGCCCAACAGGAGGGATACAGCTGCCTTCTAAACCAAACAGAATACAACCTACGGTTAAATCTCTCTCTCTGTAAATCTGGGAGCTACAGAGTGAATGGGAGACTTAACTCCACGTTCCAAAAATTCACCCACTGACCAGGAGAGACCGTTTCTTACTTGGGGCACCTCTATACAGGAGAGCGCAGTTTTCCCAAGAACAACAGAACGGCACTTCTTCTATTCTTCACCTCTCTCCCTTGCCCTTTTCAGTTCAGTTCAATTCAAGAAGCTTTATTGGCTTGCCGACTGAAGAGTACAAATACAATTAACATAAAATCTACAGACATTTTGCACTACAGACACATCTAAATACAGTTACATGCAAACATGGAGCATTATTGAGAGACGGGCTCACTGTTCCTCGGGCTGTGACAGGAGATCACATACTGGGCGGCCAGTTCAGCCGAGTTCCCTCCTCCCTCTCTCAGTAGGATTGGGTATTGTTGTGATTCTGGCGGGGGTGGGAGTTCTGGGATTCGATTTGTAAATTTGGGGAAGAATGTTTCTCTAATCCCAGAGTATCTGTCACAGTGCAGTAGGAAGTGCACCTCTGTCTCTATTTCTCCCCGCTGGCAGTGGGAGCACAGCCTGTCCTCTCTGGGCAGCCAGATCTGCCTGTATCGCCCAGTTTCTATGGCTGGGTTGTGGTCACTGAGCCTGTACTTTGTCAGGGTCTGTTTCTTTTGCTGTTTCTTATCTTGGCCAAATACTTGGCTAGTGTGTATTGTCTGTTTAGGGTCCTGTAGCATTCCAGTTTATGTTGTGTTTGTGTGTCTTTGTGTCCCAGTGTGTGAGATATTGCATTTTGATCTGTGCTGTGATGTGGTTGAATCTGAGTTGTGAAACTGTCCTGAGGCTGGCTGGTGTCAGTGTGGCTCAGGTCAGTGACCTTCAGGACCAGCTGGCTCAGAGGGCTCTTTGTTGGGCTCAGCTCTTGGATCAGCAGGGCCTTGTTTGTGTAGTGTTGAGTTTTGGTTGGTGTTTTTTAGATGTAGCCAATAATTTATTGTTTTTTTTGTTTGTCCTGGACTGTGGATGACTCTTTGGTGATTTAACAAGAGCTTAATTACCTAAGGTAAACAAGCAGATTCCCTCAGTAAACCAGTAAACCACTTGGCAAACTAGGTTCCTTTCTGGCCTTGAAGGTCCCTGAACTGCAGGTGACACTAGCTAGATGTTGACTTATCCTTTATAGCCTTATAGTCTTTCCATTACCCTCCTGCTGATTTGAGAGTGGTTTGGGAAGTAGGTATCTATTAAACCTGTGTTCTGTGACAGGGGGTGGGTCATGCAGTCTGGGGATGTTTCTCTGTTGCCATGGCAGTGGCTGTGGCTGAAGCAGTACTGTAGGTCTGCACTCACACAGTAGACCCCTCCCTCTAAACTGGACAGAAATGTCATGTGTCACTAAAAAAAATTCAGAACTCTTCCACCTCAGTAGGGACACACACTAGGTCTTTCATACAAGAGGCCTTTTTACTATGCCACTTGAAGTGTTGTGTTTTATTAAATAAGAAATTGGGGGGGGCGGGGGGGTATTTGTTTTGATTTGTCTGTTTTAATCATAATTAAAACTAATTAGCAAAGATATGCAAGTATACAAGGCAACTGGTTGGATGTAAAGGCGGTGTAGTGGCACACTGGGGTGAGAAATAGCTCTGCCAATGTTGGTGCGGTTTGCTGTGAAAGTGTGATCTCTGTACAGCTCAGCACTAACAGACCTGTGTTCATGGTTCCTCCGGCCCAGGTACGGCTTTGTGACGTTCGAGACGCAGGAGGACGCTCTGAAGATACTGCGCGATGTAAGCCTCACCCCAACCCCCCTTTCCCGGTTCTGCCCAGTTTCTTAATCCTGCAAAGCACTGCAGCAGAGTCCTGCACTGGGTCAGGTAATCTGTGTGGGATCTTTACAGCGGAATGGGATCAGGTCAGGTAACCTGCGTGGGATCGGCAATCCATATGGGATCCTTACAGCAGGGTGGGATCGGATCAGGTAATCTGTTTGGGATCTGCTGGGCAGGGTGGGATCAGATCAGGTACACTGTTTGGGATCTGAATATCGGGGCAAGACTGGGTCAGAAACTTTTCAGTTTTAGCTGTCCGTTTTCGTTAAAGGTCTGAGTTCACCACTCGCCAAATTGTCCTGTTTCAAAGTACTTAAACGCTAAAGGAAAACTGATTTGATGTGGCTGGGACAGGAATGGTAGGGGGTCTTGTTCAGCTTTATATGTTTATTTATTACTTGTTCAGCAGATTTGTACTCGTACAGACCAGTACAGTTGACTTTCAGAAAACTGCTTTGGAGCAGAGCACTCGAGGGGTGGGAGGAAAAGAGGTTTGCTGACACAGAGCTCTCGTCTCTGTCCTCCTCCAGTGTGATAAACTCAACTTCGGGGACAAGAGGCTGATTATTGGCCAGGCCATCCGCCGGCAACATGTGGTCCCTCACTGTACGTACCTCCTCGCACAGACGCACTGCCTGTCCCTCTCGGACACACGCACTGACTGTCCCTCTCGGACACACGCACTGACTGTCCCTCTCGCACAGACGCACTGACTGTCCCTCTCGCACAGACGCACTGACTGTCCCTCTCGCACAGACGCACTGTCTGTCCCTCTCGCACAGACGCACTGTCTGTCCCTCTCGCACAGACGGACTGCCTGTCCCTCTCGCACACACGCACTGCCTGTCCCTCTCGCACACACGCACTGCCTGTCCCTCTCGCACAGACGCACTGCCTGTCCCTCTCGCACAGACGCACTGCCTGTCTCTCTCGCACAGACGCACTGCCTGTCTCTCTCGCACAGACGCACTGCCTGTCTCTCTCGGACAGACGCACTGCCTGTCCCTCTCGGACACACGCACTGTCCCTCTTGCACTGATGCACTGAATCACCCTCTCGCACAGACACACACTGAATCACCCTCTTGCACGCACACACACTGAGTCACCCTCTCGCACACACACACACTGAATCACCCTCGCACACACACACTGAATCACCCTCGCACGCACACACTGAATCACCCTCTTGCACGCACACACACTGAATCACCCTCGCACACACACACTGAATCACCCTCACGCGCACACACACACACACACACACTGAATCTCTGTTTTCCATTGAAACTCTCCTGGTGTTTTTTGTTTATCTTAAACGTCTGTCTCCTGCTGCCTCCAGCCCCCTCCCTTTGTCCCTTAACCCTGTTCATTCGGTCTTGTCCTGCTCTGTTTCTAACATAATTCTTAGTGTTGAAATTCAGAAACGCCTTCGTTGCCGCGGCGTTTCGAGGCGCAGAGGCCCCTCCTTCTGACTGCGCCTTGTTTCTGCGTGTGCGCAGCAGACTGCGGGTTGCTGGCACCTGGCGTCATCCCTGAGGACCCCTTGTGTCACCCCCTGGACTCCGTGCACCTGACCACGTCCACCGGGTACCCCTACACCTTCCACAACGGGGTGGCCTACTTCCATGTGCCCGAGGTGGGCGCTGTGCAGCCCCCTTGGCCTGTGAGTCCAGCGCAGCCGCTGCCTATCTGGGTACGTGTGTGTGTGTGGAGGCATGGCCGTTTCCCCTCCGCCATTTCGTCTTTCCTGGTTGTTCTGTGTCCGTGATGCTCCATGCGCATCCGCCTGTATGTGTGTACAGACGCCTCTCCCTGTTTGTGCGTTCCCCTGCGTATGCGCATGCGCCTCTCCTGTCTGCCTGCCCCGGCTGCGGGCCCGTGTGTGTGAAGTGCGCCCGGCTCACCCTGTGCCCGTCTGTCTGCGCAGCAGCCGCAGTCCCTGTCGGCCTCTCCAGTGATGGTGACCCACCAGGCCCAGGCGGTTCTGCCGCAGGCTCCCTGTCAGCACTATCAGGTCAGTCCGCCTGAAACGGACTCTCCCCCGTCTGTCTCGCCCGCTCCAGGATCTGTCTCCTGTCACTGGCTCCCTGTTGCTCCTTGCGGACAGGTCTCTTTCTCTCGTGACGTTCCCAGACCTGCTCCGATCCCTCACTCTTCCAGTCCCTCCTCGCTGCTCACCCTCTGCTGAAGCCCCCGAAGCCCCAAGTGCACTGGTGGGGACCCCCTCTTCATTTCTCCTCTGCAGAAGTGCACTGGTGGGGACCCCCTCTTCATTTCTCCTCTGCTGAAGTGCACTGGTGGGGACCCCCTCTTCATT